TTTGTGCACATTATATTGAAGCCTGCAGTGTAATGAACATTATCGTTCAATATATCAGTATTGATGAGGCCAAAAATCTGACTGGCTTCAGATTGTTTTTTTGGTGGTATTCATTATAGTCTTTTAAAAAGCTATTATAATAATTGAATTGTTAGCAAAAAAGAGTGAAAGTTAACTTTTCACACGAGACCATGTTAATTTTGTGAGAGTGAGCTGGCAATTCTTCTGATACTGAGAGATGGTTCAAATATGGCAGGCAACAATATCACAAATAAAAACAATTAAAATTAAATATTTCCCATTCATACGGCATCCTTTTGACATGAACTATAATGAATGCGAAAATATTCACTTGTAATTTGGAAGTCATTTTCTTTATCTAGAGTTAGAGAAACAGTTTTGTAGTTAGTGATCATGGCAATTGGAAACAGTTGTTTTTGACTGTTTCATACCTAGGAAGAAAGTGGTCGTAATAATTGACTATTGCTGAGTGCCTTTAGATCTTTAAAATTTCAGAGATAGCCATGTTAGTGGGTAACTTTAAAAACAATGAATAGTCTTGTGACACCTTGGAGACTATATATAGATATAGTCATGAGCTTTGGTGGGCAAACCCCACTTCCATGGGCATTTGGTATGGTAGGCAGGGGAAGGCTTTGAAGCTTATCTACTCACTGTTTCTTTTTTTCTTCCTCCCCTCCATTTTTTCCCCTTCTCCCTCCCTCTCTCCTTCTCTTATTTAATCTTGGATCTGGACTTCCAACACTCCTGTAATCTGAAGAAGGGGGTTGTGCCCACAAAAGCTCACGATATCATCTACATGTTTTGTTAGTTTTTAAGGTGCTACTAGACTATTTGTTGTTTTTTAAGTTTTTCCTGTTACAGACTAACTCAGCTACCCCTCTGAAACTATATACATAGAATTTGTTAATCTCTATTAACACCTCTATTAAAGGTGTCACAGGACTACTCATTCTTTTTAGATCTTTATACACTTGGGACTAGACCTCTCAGCTGTGGCCAAGCAACATTCTGGGCAATTGGAGAGAGGAAGGGCAAAGGTCACTGTTCTATCCGCCAAGCCGCTACTCATGGGGCTACCTGTCCTACCATTCCCCTGAGCTCTCTAGTTCCCTCACAGAAAATATGTGTGCGGTTTTTGAAAAGAGTCATAAAACAAACCAGGACTTGTAGTAATACACTGGGCATTTTATAAAGCCTCAGTGTAAATGAGATAAACTACTAGAGAGGAAGGGCAAAGGTCACTGTTCTATCCGCCAAGCCGCTACTCATGGGGCTACCTGTCCTACCATTCCCCTGAGCTCTCTAGTTCCCTCACAGAAAATATGTGTGCGGTTTTTGAAAAGAGTCATAAAACAAACCAGGACTTGTAGTAATACACTGGGCATTTTATAAAGCCTCAGTGTAAATGAGATAAACTACTCAAGATTGTAGGCATTCCTCTTTGTTTCTGTGATCACTGCAAACCTTCCAACCCTCTGTGTCAGATAGTGGCCCATATTTTTATGATGTGCCTAGAATAGATTTCAGTGAAAGGCACTACATAATGGCAAAGCATTACTGCCGTTTATTTTATGAACTTTGATGAAGACTTTCTAAAACACAGAAAAAATGAACTGGAGCAAAATACAGAAGTTGAGCTGTTGACGTAATCAAAGGCCATTCATGCCAAATTTTCAGGTTCCCAGACAACCTGGAAGCCTGTACATGTGGTAGACATTTACTCTGCTGATGACAATTTGTTTGCATAGGAACCTTTATCTGATTTTACTCATTGGGTGCAGTTAGCGCCTCTCATCAAACATTAGGGCAACAGTTGAAGAGCTTGTATTTGGTTATTAATGCTAAAAAAACATTTTCCCGGCAGTGCAGCACATTTGTCTTTCCTTATCTATGTTTTTCAGTCAGCGCAATGTCAAAGGTATACCACAGGGCAATGTTAATTTTCCCAGCACCCAATTAAGTCACTGGCTACATCAATTTGTAAATCTACCAAAACAGCATGACATATTTTATACTCACCTTAGAAGGAAACAACCCATCAGCTGAGGAGAAAATGGAAAAACTAGGGGTCAGATCATCACTCTGCTCTGGCCCCTTTATGCCACATAAAATGGCCCTAAAATCCTGGATGTAACTAGGGCAGTAACAATAGTATGGCTGAGGGCACATACAGATAAGTGACTGTGCCCACTTCTCATATGGAAATACAGAGTTTAGTTTAGATTAGTTTACCCACTTCTTTTTTACTACTGCCTCAACGGAGGGGACTTAATCCACACAGGAACTGTGCAAGGCAGCACGGCATGTGGGGTCACATGCTCTCCTAAGTATGATCCCTGGTTTAGACTGAGCATGCTCACATGGACTGAGCATGCTCAATAAAATTGCTGAAGCCAGCTGCCCTCACGGTGTCCGTCCTCTCTCCTTTGCAGTCACAGGTCATCTCTAGCAGAAGGCAATCTATTTTAATTTATAACCAAACACATTCCAGTTAGTTGCATTTCTTTATGTAATCCTATCTTCCAGCCCCTTAGCATAAGAGTTACTTAAGGCTCCATTAGCTTTATGACAGTGTAAAAAGGATCGAGGTTTTTATTGTGAAAAGAGGATTGCTGTACTGATCAGAAATCTGAGCACAGTTGCAGAAAATGATGTGCAGCTTATGTGTGCGTGTCAGACTGGATTGTGATCCGAAAGGGAAATTACAAGTACTGGACTGATTAGAAGGCAGTGCAAATATGCATGTCTGGAATGAAAGGTAATATCTCAGTGTATATAGAGTGGTGGTAGAAATGTAGCCGTGTTAGTCTGGTGCAGCTGAAACAAAAAACAGGACTGTGTAGCACTTTAAAGACTAACAAGATGGTTTAATAGGTGATGAACTTTCGTGGGCCAGACCCACTTCCTCAGCTCAACCAGGAAGGACATTGTCTCAACAACTTGATTACCTGCATCCTGCTTCAAAGACCTTTTAAGACTTCACTTCAAAGAGAATCCTCTGAACTGTCATTCATGCTTAAATTTGACACTTTACACTCAAATTTGAATAAAGATGCTAATTATCTTACCCATTACAAAGATAGCTTCCCCAATTATCACCTCTAATATCATTAGCTCACAGACATTTACCTCTTCCCTTTCCTCCCCTTCATCCCCCCTCTGTTCTGAAATTTGATTTGTCCTTTTCATATGTGTTCATTTTTTTATTTGTATCCTTTGGTATATATGGTTGTGACAATTTTCTTCCACTATTTGATCTGAGGAAGTGGGTCTGGCCCACGAAAGTTCATCACCTATTAAACCATCTTGTTAGTCTTTAAAGTGCTACATAGTCCTGTTTTTTGTCTCAATGTGTATGTTTGTGACAGCGAGGCTCTGCTGGTGAGGTTTGAGAGACATTAGTATTTAAGAGGATGTATTTGGGCTTGAGTCCAGGAAAGGCATTCCCAGCCAAAGGATTTGCAAGGCCCAAGGAAGGAAGCTGGGAGCGGGGCCCCAGGCCTGGCTGGTGGATGATGAATACGCAGCAACGTGGAGCCCTGAAAGCATGGGGCCCAAGGCATTTGCCTTGCTTGCCTTGCTTGCCTTGCCCTAGGGCTGAGGAAAAGTAATGATCAGAAAAGTCTATGTCTTTGAAGACTGATGCTGATTTTTGGTGAGGAGACAAGGTTTTTAAACCATACAGTGATATTTTAGGAGCATTGAATGTGACATTTTTCAGCAGGCAAGTGAAATCCCAGAGATTTTGTCCACACTGAGCACTCCCTTCCCTATTATTTTTGAAAGCAATCTGTACATAATGAAGAACTGAAATTGGACACTTCAGGAAGTGTAAAGATGTGAATTTATTCTGTGTTTGTATATCTCCTAGCACAATGGGATTTGGGTCTATGATTGGGAGTATTAATATTGGGTGCTATGGTAATACAAATAACTAATAACCACATGTAGGGGTCAAGTTGTAACTGAGTTATAGGCGATGAGCGAGAAAGTTTTGCTCCCTTAAAAAGCATCTAGTGTTACCTAGTCTGTCTGTGGAGGAGTTGGATTATGTAAATACCTAATCCAAATTCTGCAAAAACAATCTGGAGACAGCAGTACTCAGCATTAGCAAAATACCACCTAGGTGGGCCTAAAGATAAAGATGTCTCTGGAGTTTTTGTCACAGACATTGGGGGAATTAAGCCCCAGAATGTGTATGAAATTATCATGCACCTTTCTTTCTTTCTTTCTTTCTTTCTTTCTTTCTTTCTTTCTTTCTTTCTTTTAGAAAACACATATAAACAAGTTGAAAATCAGCACTTTAATGAGTTATTTGCCAAAAGCTGAGATTCTTTACCCATGAAAATATTTTAGATACTCAGGCAAAACATTCACAAACTATTATTTTCATTGCAATCATGCTGAATTTTTTTGTCAACATCTTTCCTTTTCAATTTGCATCAGTCCAGGGTTTATATATGCTGCAGTATACATAGTGACATGTTGAAAAAACAGGCTGTGTTGAAACATGGAGACCATACTTTGTTTGGGTGGGAAGTACAGTGAGTGCTTCTTTATGGATAGGTACTCTGCAGGTACCCACATTACTTATTGAAAGGGAAGTTCTGTTGCCCACAGATGAAATTGTGTAAGTGGTGGTGGTAGACACCCATACAAGAATAATAAATAATATTGCTGGGAGACTCTTGTGTGCTGCAGTCTTAAAGTCACATGATACAGGGTGGGTAGTGGGAAACAGTTGCATGGTGCAGGAGATTTCTGAGTATCTACTTTTAATTTAAGGAATATTTATTTCTAAAGATAAAAGAGGGAGACTTTTAAATAGGAGGCTCCTATAAAGTGGAGGCTGCAGTGTCCCTTTAGGAGGCTTTGATTTATGAGTAATAAAGAAGCAGGAGGGCAAAGACAAAATTTCCAAAAGCTGTATAAGCTTGAAAAGGCAACTCTTCTATCTCTCACCCAGGCCTCAGGAACCAGGGTCGGGCTCCAAGGTGAAAGAAAAGGAATTTATGTAAGTACATGAACTCCAGCTGGGGCTTTAGCTAACACATTTTGCTCCCCAGTCCCTTACAATCTGAAACGAAAACCTTCTGCAAAGTTGGCTGGCTAGACTTGCTTCTGTTTCTGATGAGTACTTTCTGTTTTCATTCTCATCACCTTAATGGAAACTGACCAGCTTTTTGAAAAACAAAATGAACACTGAAATGAAAGTTTCCATAAAAATTTACTTGTACAACATTTCAGACTCAATAGAACTTCCTTACTGCATTCTAGATCATTTTAACGTGAGGAATGTAAAATCTGATAGAAAGCAAATTGGCCTTAAAAAAGGGTGGATTAAAAAAAACAATCCTCCTTTGAACAGCTTACATTTTCTTTCTTATAAATTCAGTGAGAACAAATCTTAAGGTTCAACTATCTTTCTGCAGGTTAGACTCCATGGCTGTCTACACTGGCTCTTTTGCGCAAAAGTCTTTCAGAAAAAGACTTTTGCCCGAACGGGAGCGGCATAGTATTTCTGCAAAAGCACTGACAATCTTACATGAGATCATCAGTGCTTTTGCGGAAATTCAAGTGGCCAATGTAGACAGCTGGCAAGTTTTTACAGAAAAGCAGATGATTTTGCAGAAAAACTTGCCAGTCTAGACACAGCCAGACAGAATCAGCACTTGTCCTAGTACTCCCTGGATACAAATGGGGGCAGGAACACAGACCTGCCTTGCCACATTCTCTCTGGGGCCACTAGCACTGTAGACACTTTGCACTTCACCACCCAACTGTTAAGGGATGGTGTCCTCTTGAATGGACAAAGGGCATCCCTGTACCCACTCAGCACTATGTATTTACTTAGTTATTTGTTTCGCCATGGTCCCTAGGAACCGTAGTCATGGCTCAGGGCCCCATTGTGTTGGGCACTACACAAATTCACACCGAATCCCCAGCCTATCCATCAGCTCTCATTCACTAGCGAACTACCAGTGCTCACCTCTGATTGGCTCATGATGCCACTTTTCAAATAAGCAGTTTCTCTCATGCTGCCGGAAAGACTTGGTTGCGCTCGCAGTCATAAAACTATAATAGTCCCATAGCCGGAGAAAACGAATGAATAAATCCTGCCACTGCTGGTGCTGGGGAATAACTGGGGAAATGGCAGTAATGCTGCTGTTAGACTGTCACATTCACTTTAGCAGATGGTTTTTCCTTCGTCAATAAATTCTGGTACTGATTCAGCTGATCTCAGCAATCATTTCTGCTAGGTACTGTTAAATCACATATAACAAAGCACCATGTGGCTAGCAGCTGGGGATGACTGACAATATTTGCCTTAGATACATGAGTAGATTGTACTCCCATGGTTCTTCTAAAGCAACAGGGGACCATGCAGCATTTAGATAAACGGTGTTGTCTCTTGGTATTGTCTGGACTGCTTATGCCAGTGCTAAGAGCAGTCTCACTGTCACTATGGCATCTCACCGGCATGCACAACATCTTATCAAGACAGTCTGACTGTAGGAAAAAATATATTTAGGGCTGACGTGTCTCCTCTATACACCACCTCCACAAATCAAATACACAGAAAATTGTCAAGAACATTATGTCTGTTCAAAGAGCACAGCAGCAAGCAAGACCAATCGCTTCCTGGGAAAAAGATGTACTGAATGTATATTTCATGCTTAAACTGTTGTAGCTCCCTCTGCTATGGCCTTGCCAACTCCCAGCTCTCCAGACGCAAGCACGTCACGGCCTATTTTGATCATAAGTGCAAGGAAGCATTAACCATGTCACTCATGTTATCAGACATCCAGGGCTCCTCATTGTTCCCTGGTCCTGCTCAAAAAGCCTCCTAAATAACAAAATATATAACCTATCAGACTGAATCTCCTTGTAATTCCTCCCAGTGCTTCCAAATGGATTTTTGGATGGGGAAGGAATATGTGGTGTTAATGTGGAATGAAATCCACCCATCCAGCCACCTTTGGGCTTGCTTACATTTGTGCAGAGACAGAGGCTCACTGAGACAGGAAGTGGTAAACCACCCAGGGAGCAGTACGTGGAAACATAATGCCTGTGTAAGGCTATGTCTACACTGGCACTTTCAGTACTCAAACATTTGTTGCTCATGAAAAGTGCCGATGTGCATAGCGCTTCATCGGCAGGAGCTCCACTCATTGGAGGTAGTTTTATCTTGTTGCCAGGAGAACTCTCTCTCCCAGGGATAAAGAGAGGCTATACTTGTGTCCCTTACAAGGGTGCAGCTGCAGTGGCACAGCTGTGCTGTTGTAAGGTGCGCCATGTAGACATACACTGAGGCTATGTGTACACTCACGGCTTCTTGCGCCAGAAATATGCAAATGAGGCTAAGCGTGGAATATTGCCAAGCCTCATTTGCATACCTAATGAGCCACCATTTTTGCAGAAGAGGCTCTTGCTCCAGAAGAAACTGTCTACACTGCCCCTTCTTGCGCAACAAAAACCCTCTTGCGCAATGCTGTTCTTCCTGAAAAGTAATCAGCATAATGGCATTGTGCAAGAAGGTTTTTGTTGTGCAAGAAGGGGCAGTGTAGATAGCTCCTTCAGGCGCAAGAGCCTCTTCTGTAAAAATGGCAGCTTATTAGGTATACAAATGAAGCTCGGCAATATTCCACACAGCCTCATTTGCATATTTCTGGCTCAAGAAGCCGCTAGCGTAGACATAGCCTAAGAGATCGGGGAGTCTCAGGCACAGATGTTTAGCTGCCTGGAACCAAAGCATATGGGTTCAATATGAAAAACATTATTGGGAAACTTGGTGGTTAATAGCAGGGCCTCAGGATAGCTGACCAACTGAAAAGTAAGCTAGATTGTTGTATTAAAAGGAGGATAGTCAAGAAATATGAATTTTTGGTGAGACATGCTCAAAATTGGGCAGGATACAGCAGCTAGCTGTTTACCTTCTTTCTGTACACCTTGGCTACGTCTACACTGGCCCCTTTTCCGGAAGGGGCATGTAAATTTCACTAGTCGTCATAGGGAAATCCGCGGGGGATTTAAATATCCCCCGCGGCATTTAAATAAAAATGTCCGCCGCTTTTTTCCGGCTTTTAAAAAAGCCGGAAAAGAGCGTCTAGACTGGCCCCGATCCTCCGGAAAAAGTGCCCTTTTCCGGAGGGTCTTATTCCTACTCCCTGGCACCGTCCCCTTCACCACTGAGTTGCCTGTCACTGGTCAGTTGATGATACTATAGCTCTCCAATCCGCGCAATATCTCCGGCTATTGAATCAAGGGGACACCACTTGGAGATCAGGCTCTCCTTTCCCAATGCCCTATCAAGGAGATCCTACTATGGGCCTTATTCACCGAGTAGGTCCCCGTACTCACCTTGTCACCACCGCCATTGTAGCTGGATGTCTTCCTGTTGCTCCCTGCCTGCTAGATCTCAGCAGGACTGTAGCTATCACCACAGGCCTCGTTACTACTCCAGACACCCTCATGCAACATACGCGCGTTCGGGCTCATCTCGCGGCTGTCGCTCACCTCAGTGTAATTCCCCACTCTGGATCTCAACCAATGATCGGCCTCCAACACTGTCCGAACCAACCCGGGATTCACAGGCTCAAGTCTCCAAATCTGAGGAGAGACAACTATCTGACCCGGAGGAGCCTGTGCCAGAGACATCGCCATCCGATCAGTTGTCCTCATCTCCGGATGAAGCTGTGTTCCCAGGATGACCTGAAACACTTCTAGGAGTTGTTCAAATGCGTTGCAGAGTCGCAGCAAATGCAATTAGCAAACCAAACAATATCAGTTGCTTAAAAACCTACAGCCGCAGCAAAGGGCGAAAATCGTGATACCCATCAATGAAGCGATTATGGAGTGTGCAGAGATCTGGCAGATGCCAACTTTGGTACTTTCAACAAGCAGGTGAGCAGACAAAAGATATTTCTTTCCCTCCAAAGGCTTAGAATTTCTGCTTAATCACCCGCAGCCAAATTCTTTGGTCGATGCTGCTCAGCATAGGTCTAAAACGCCCCAATATAGAAATACGGTAGGTGACAAGGGCACAAAGAAACTTGACATTTTCGGGAGGAAAGTGTACTAGTCTGCTACTCTGCTCCTGCGCATAGCGAATTACTCCACTTGGCTATCCAATCATAGCTTTGATAACTGTTCAAAGCTAACGGACTTACTCCAGCACCTCCCTGACTCCAAAAAGCCCATACTTAAAGCAGTTGTCCAAGAGGGCTACAATGTAGCTAGAGCCAGACTGCAGATTGCAATGGACATGGCCAAGACAGCGGTATGAGCGACAGCTACTGCAAAAGCCATGTGACGATTGTCATGGCTTACCGCAGCGGCTGTTCTGAGGGAAATAGGCAAAAATGGAGGACCTCCCCTTTGAGAAGCGTAGACTCTTCTCTGAAAAGATAGACTAAGGCCTACATTCGGGTAAAGATATCCTTTGGTATATATGGTTGTGACTATTTTCTTCCACTGTTTGATCTGAGGAAGTGGGTCTGGCCCACGAAAGCTCATCATCTAATAAACCATCTTGTTAGTCTTTAAAGTGCTACATTGTCCTGCATTTTGCTTCAGCTACCCCAGACTAACACGGCTACATCTCTATCACTATCCCTCCTGTGCGGTGCAGGGAGCCGATGCTCCCTCCCACAGTACACCCGGCAGAGCAGCTAGCGCTATTTCCGGAATCGCCAGAAGTGGCGCTAAGCTGCAGGACTTCTGTCCATCCCCCGGAAGCCTACACTACCTCCATTTTTACTGGAGGTAGGTAGTGGTGCTTCTTGGGAGTGGGAGGGAAATGGGGGCAGAGCGGACAGGACCTGTTGGTGACCACGGCCCTAGAATATATGCACACTTCTTGACAGCAATGATTGCCAGAAAGGGAAGCAATCATGGGTAGAAAACTTGCACAGTAGAGCATCAGTGTCACAGCCTTAAGCAAAACATGCATCTCTGGTACCAGACAGTTCACTGAGGTTGGAGCAGGCTATTCATATTATTGCATGGGCTATCCTGAGGGGCATCCAAGACAAGCAGGAGTTGGCTTCACCATCAGGATGTCACTAGTTTCCCAGCTTGAATCCCAGTCACATACTATCAATCCTCACCTCATGACTGCAACGCTTAGGCTGAGGCAGGGACAGTGCCTCGTACTTGTTAGTGCCTATGCACCCACTTTGTCTGCTGCAGGCTTTGAAAAGGAGGCTTTCTTCGATAACCTGAATTCAGTTCTATTTTCAGTACCTTTGAAATACAAGCTATATATACTGTAAGGCTACGTCTACACTGGCCCCTTTTCCGGAAGGGGCATGTAAATTTCACTCGTCGTCGTAGGGAAATCCGCGGGGGATTTAAATATCCCCCGCGGCATTTAAATAAAAATGTCCGCCGCTTTTTTCCGGCTTTTAAAAAAGCCGGAAAAGAGCGTCTAGACTGGCCCCGATCCTCCGGAAAAAGTGCCCTTTTCCGGAGGCTCTTATTCCTACTCAAGTAGGAATAAGACCCTCCGGAAAAGGGCACTTTTTCCGGAGGATCGGGGCCAGTCTAGACGCTCTTTTCCGGCTTTTTTAAAAGCCGGAAAAAAGCGGCGGACATTTTTATTTAAATGCCGCGGGGGATATTTAAATCCCCCGCGGATTTCCCTACGACGACTAGTGAAATTTACATGCCCCTTCCGGAAAAGGGGCCAGTGTAGACGTAGCCCAAGTGTGTGAAGTGGGAGGGGACTGTTCCTTGATACCTTTAAGCCAGATTTTGCCAAATTTACTTATGTTATTTTGCATCTTACGCTACAGGGAGGCTTGCTTATTACAATGGAACTACTTGTGGACAAACTCAATAGGAATAGGTGAGGCAGTGGCTAGAAAGTTAAAGGGGTATAAAGAAATGTATGCCTTGATAATTAAAAGAGATAAGGTGGGTGAGGTAATATCTTTTACTGCGGGGGTGCCCAATCAAGGGCCCACGGACCATTCATGGCTCACGAGAGCATTTCATGAGGCCTGTAGGTTGCTTCAACACAATAGACCAATGGCCAATTCATTCGCATTTTGTCATCGTGTTTACATCATTTTAATTTACACAAATATGTAAATAAAAAATACTTTACACACAATCTGTTTAAATTCATTCAAAACAAGCTGAACTTGAAATATAAATCAATACACTTGGCTTTAAATTTTATTAAAATATACAGAATCGGTTTGACCCTAATAAGGTACTACTTAAGTTTTTGTGTCTCTCCAGTGTAATAAGGCAGGGCACAACTGTTTTACTGAACCAACTTCTGTTGGTGTGAGAGAAACTTTTTTGAGCTACACAAAACTCATTTTTCAGGTAATTAAGACCAGATTCTTCTCTTGCTGGATTAATTACCATTCCAACCTCACAAGGGTGTCATACAGTTTAATTAATTACAGCCAAACTCTGCAATCAGTCACACCAGTGTAATCTAGGATAACTCCGCTGGATTTATAATCACAGTCTCTATCTCAGGGAAAATGTGGTGCTTGCCTCTCATCTTGTGATAGCCAACTGGCTAGGAATGCAATAGATATCTTCTCCCGCTGCTCCTTCCATGAATCCAATCAGACTAATATTCAAATTAATTCAGTTTTCCACACATTCTAGTCTAAATGTGACTGATTTTGTTTGGTCTTCAGGCCTTTTGATTTTCTTTTTCAATCTATGTAAGTCTATGTATTTATAGTGTGTGTGTGTGTGTGTGTGTAAAGTATTACAGGGCACTTTTATCATGAGATATAAGATAAAGATCTCCCAACATTCCCACTGATAAATAATAACAAGTTGGAGGTAACCATTTATTGGACTAACTACATGATTATCCTTCACAGACAGGTGTCAACTCTAGCTTTGATTATCTCCAAGTTGAAGGTAATTCCACAACCTCTTATATCCAGACCTAACAACACACTCAGGTATGCACTTTGAGCAGATGAGCAGTTTTGTTGATTTCTGTGGGACTACTCCCATACTTAATGTTAAGCATATGCTTAAATGCTTTGTTAGATTGGAGTGTTAGTGAGCTCCCTAGAGTAACTCCAATATAAAAGGGTAGAGGGGCAAATTTTGTTTTCATACAGCTTAGCACAGAGGTGTTCCATGGCTAGAGCTCCTAGGCACTATGGTAAAACAAAGGGTGCATCTACACAGCAGCTTTATTTCAGAATAACGTTAGTTATTCCGAAATTAACTATGTGAGCATCTGCACAGATAGCCTGTTATTTCAAAATAATTTCATAATAACAGGGGGCTTATTTCGATGTTTGTAAACCTCATTCCACGAGGAATAATACCTCTTCCAAAATAGCTATTTTGGAATAGGAGTCGTGTGTACACTCCACTGCTGCTATTTTGAAATAGCTCCTCTCCCAGGCCATTCAAAGTAATTACTCCCCAGTGCTTCTTAGGTTTCTGAATCGAGGTAGCACGTCCACTTTAGGGGAATCTGCCTCAGACTAATTTCCAGGCTTCCCTGTACTGTAGCCATGCTATTTTGAAATAAGCTATTTCAGAGTATTTATTTCAGAATAACTTATTCCAAAATAATCGTGCAGTGTAGATGTAGTCAAATAATCATAATAATGATGATACATACTATGATGTCTTACACTTTATATAGTGCCTTTTATCAAAAAAGTTACCCCTCTGAGGTAAGTAAGTATTGTCTTCTCAATTTTCTCATGCAGATACCAAGGCACAGCAGCCTTCCTTTACATTGCTCTGTAGTAACTTACTCCAGTTCTGGTCTGATATGTTACAATTAATGTGTGCGAAATTTGGGATTTCCTTCCCTTCTGAATTTGTTTTCAATCCTGTGATAGGCTCTCTGGTACCCCCTTGGGGAATCCCTTTCTCGTCTTGAATGTCATTCTCTGAAAACTGGCATCACTGTTGTCTGGCTTCCAAACTTGGCGGTACAGTCCTTCAGCTGTACCCCTTGGACCATCTGTCCCCTTCCAGACATTTTCAAATAGTCCAGCGGAAAAAGTCAAAATTCCTTCACAACCTACAGAAAGGGCCAGTCCATGGGTGGAAGGTCTGGGCACCCTTGTCTAGGAAGCTATTCATCCAGTCTTGAACCAGATAGTCCTCTTTTGAGGTGGCTTGTCCCCATCTAGTATTGAGATAAATCAGATGGGATTTTTGTCCAGTATCAATCGTGGGATTCCATTTTTAGAAGTGCACTGCATACACCCCTATGGTTATCCAGTTATGGATGGATCATGCGTGCAAGGTCATGCTGATAGAGATCATGGCCCCCCTGTGGCATGACCTCACATGCATTGCTCTTCTTAGAAGAACCAGAATGTCCTGTATTCCTGGCATATGTGAATGTTCTCCCGGACCTTGTGTTTCTACTAACCAAGGCTGTGCCAGAGCTCCAAAAAGAAGAAGCTGTTGTCATTATTTCCTCAGAGGGATGAGGTGACTGGCACTCTCAAACATTTTCCCAGTAGACAGCTCCTGGGAGCTCTGAGCCCTAGTTCGTTTTGGTCTTGAATGTCACAACCTGAGCAGCGATTCTCTCTTTTAAGGATTTGCCCTTCTCCAGGATTGACAGACCTCATGGGTGCAGTGGGTTGGGACTAACTGGGACCAGGGCAGCACTTTAACTTCTTGGTGGGACAGGGAGATGCCTAAGCACAAGCCCAACATGGGACAAAATTTTTGAAAATTCTACAAAACACTGTGATTTGGAAATATCAAAATGCTTCTTTTTGGGTCTATTGAACTGATCTGAAATGCTGGTTCTGAGTTAGTCCAATATTAAATGGCATTTCCCTGTTGTGGTGCATTGCTTCATGGGAGTTTAGTTTGAGAGCCTAATGCCCCCTTCTTCCCTATGGGCTAAGTGTCACTGGGTGAATACATCTCTTACAATTAACTGAGAATCATGTGTCTCCCACGATGCACCACAGAACTTGGCCAAAGAGGGTCCACATTGCTTTATGGAACAAGTAGTTCTCTAGGGAGTCTAGCCAGAATGACAGCCCAAACTGTCACTCCCATGAGGAAACATGTCATGATAGAGAAGTACAATTTAATGTTGAATTGATTCAAAACTATATACAGTACTTCAGTCAATTCATCAAAACAAAATATTCCAAGTTGACTCCAACTGATTCACAATGAAATATTTTGTTTGTTTTCCCAACAGAAAGTGCCCCCCAACATGACCAGCTCTAGTGACATCTCCCTCAGTGCCAGTGTAAGTGACTAGACATGGAACAGCACGATAATGAGTTGGACCTAGGCTAGCATTTCTCAACCTTTTTTTGTATAAAGTACCCTTTACAAAAAATTATAAGTACCCCCAGTACCTACAGTTTTCACACACAAAACATTTTTTTCTACCGTTGCAACACATTTGTTTAAACAACTTAATTGTAGCTTGGCATGAAATTTTTGGGTGTAAAAGGTACAAAAATAATAAAACGCTGTAAAACTTAAAACAAAAATTCAGTTTTTTTCCAAATTTCAGTTGTGTTGATATAGCTCCCAGACTTTTCTTGAGCACCCCTAAGGGTACTCGTACCACTGACTGAGAAACACTGACCTAGGCGATTAAGTCAGTTTTCCAAGGTCTCAAAGAAAGTTTGTGACAGTACTTGGAATCAAGGCTTTATATACTGATTTCCAGTCTTTTAAATGTTACCAAACCCTTCAGGTACATTACCAAACAGCTTCAAATGCCATTTTAATCAAAACATTAAAAAAAAAATTGACATCAGTGCCTAAAGATATCTCCTCTGATATTTTCTCAAACGAAAGTACTAAATTTTTAGGTCAACAGTAAAAAAATTAGGCAAATTTGGAATGACTTTTAATCATATTTTTTCCCTTATTTTAGGTATTGCCATTGACATTGTTTTTATTGATTGCCTGACCAAGTGAGGCAGTTCAAAAATGTATTATACTCGACGCAATTTAAATTCCAGATAATGCAAACATTCAACTAGCATATGAGTCCAAGGAAATATTATCAGTTGCTCAGACTCAGTGAAACGTTGCTTACCTCCATAGTATGCTTCTTGAGGAACTGCCCTCCCCAACCCTAAGCAGACCATCCCTAGTTATTGTCACATTCGACTTTACATTGTCATTCATAGCTATTTCCTAAAAGCATGACATAATTGTTTAATTGCATTGCAGATAACCTTGTTTATTTTATATCCTCGCCACTCCACAGATTTGTTAATAGCTCCTCTTGAGGATTTGTCTCCTTGGATACACCTTATGAACTCCTGAAACACGGCCCACAAATACTAGAGCTTCTGGTTTTCTAGCTCACGATATTATCATGGCTTCTGGTTTCCCCGTAGTCTATCTTGAAGACTGTATTTGCTGGAGAGGATGTTTATGAAGGAACACAGGCTGCCTGGAAGACTTTTGAGCTTAGCTGTTATATGCCGAAAGATCAGCATATAACAAACAATTAGGCATTTTACACTAGATTCAGGCAATTATAATGCACCGAGGAAAACACTCTAAATTACAAATCTTAGTTAAAAATAAATATGAAAACAGTTCAGCTTTAGGTATACCATTACAGTTACAGTGCCCATAGTGTGCCTACAGTTATACCTGTATTAAAGTGTTTATACTGATGTAGCTTTTTTAAATATGGGAAAGAGAATAAGCTATACTCTTATCAGGTACCTTTATGCTCTTATAGCTGCATAGATCTGGGGTGGGGGGGTTCAGCATTAATTTTGGCAGATTCAAACAGCTGCAGTCATGAAGTAGCCATTTTGCAACTGATTGCTTCTGACTACAACTCTTCCCCCATCTCAGAAAATGGTATGTTCGCCAGTCCTTTAAGTATTAATTCAGTATGTGAGTGTTTGGCTGTATCTCCTTTCTTTTTGACCCTATAAGAGTAACATAAAATAAACACCAACTGGTGCCTGGCATCCAGATTTTTAAGGGTTGGAATATGTCAAAAGTATATGCTCATAATTATCTCACAAATATTTTCCTCAATGGAGGAGCAAGCATGTTTTTACACCTTTTCCAGAAATACCACTTTTGAAAACTGTTCTTTTTTATTCTACAGTTTACTCACATATTGATTTACAATATTGCAGCCTCTGTGGTGTTCTTTGACATACAGGCAGTCCCCGGGTTATGTACAAGATAGTCAGCCTGTAGTCAGCCGCTGGTCAGTTTCAGCAGCGGCTGACTTGGGGACACCTGGGGCAGAGCAGCTGGGGTGCTGCTGGGTTGCTCCAGTAGCGCGGCTCCTCAGCGCTACTGGAGCAACCCCGCAGCACCCCAGCTACTCTGCCCCAGGACTCCTGATTCAGCCGCGGCCGACCAAGCCACCA